CATTCAAATTAATTCTTCAAATGAAATGTTAAAAATGTGAGCCAACAGCTTTCCTAAACGAGATGTTGTTCAATTGCATTTTGAAAGTGTCCAAGCAGTCAGCCACAGGGGTAGGTGGCTCCACAGTCTGAGGCTACAGCCTAAAGGGCAAGTCTCCTCGGGTTTTATAACGGGGCTTTTAGACCTCCAGGAGCTTCTGGCCTGAGGATTGAATTGTGCGCCGTGAAGAACAGGGACACAACAGATACTAAGGTGTAGTGAGGAGACCAACCAAGCCCAGAAAGTTAGGAGTGATTTTAATGTCAATACAGACTTTAACTGGAAGTCAATGAAGAGCAGATATAACCGCCATGATATAAGCCGTTTTAGATTGACCTTATGAATTTGTTTAAAGATGAAAATTACTACTGTGAAATCTATGAATGCATGGATGAAAATTTCATGATTTTTACACTTTTATCACTTTAGAGGTATATCCAAGTAGAAATGCAACGATCCGATACCCAGATCTGATATCTGCTCTGCTATTGCCTGATTAGCTTGATCGGATATTTGAATGAAGCTCATCCAGCATTTCAGTCCAGTTATTTCTACAGTATTTGCATCCATATCAGACGCAGCAATATAAAAGTTACAGCTTTTTAGTGACTTGAACTTTATAATTGCAAAGCTGATTACATCATCTAAAAGAGCACATATAGCAGCTGGTAATGATGTACATCTGTGTTCATTTATTAGCTTTTTATTTAACTACATTTATGTCACATATGATAGTATACGCTCAGCCTATGTATTGGTATCAGATCGGGAAAAAATGGATTGCTTCCCCTCTATTTCCAAGGTGATAAAAACTGCACTCAGTCAGCTGACAAAAATGATGCTCCAATGAAAAAGCAGGATCAAACATAAGCCCAACGTTTCTGAGGCTGGTTTTTCATGGATGAACTGAGCGTATGACAGTGTGCTTTACTCAGGGGGGTGATCATAGTTTCAGAATCCGTAATTTGAGGACATTTGGGTTTTTGAGGGAAAACAAAGTCTACAAACCCGGATAAATATTAAAACTGTCATTGAAACTGCAATGAAGCTTAATGTCATCAGCATAGAAGGGAAATGACAGATTTTTAAAACAATGGATCAGCTGACAGAGGCAAAAAAAAACAAAAAAAAAAAAAACAACAAGTCCCAGAGCAGAGCCCTGGGGAACTTCAAGAAACGGGATGAAAGAGTCTAATTTTCAGTTTTTTACAAGTCATGTAGGGGACAGACATCATCTCAGCAGTCAAAAATCATATTAGTTAGTTTCAACAGAGTGCCAAATGTTAAAATGTGCACATGTTTTAATGGTGCAGCCAACGTCCAGACCTAAATACAAATTAAGAAATCTGTGGCACAGCTTAAAAATGATTCTGATTCAGCTGGAGATATTTTCTAAGAAATTAAGAGCAAAAATGAGTGTTACTCTCTTGATAAGCAAAGCTGTTTAAGAGATTCACCAAAACTCTTTTAGCTGTAAATGTGGTACAAATGAATACAGACATGCCCAAGTGTTAGTCCTTCACACAAACTTCCTTAAACAATATTTAATTAAAAGCTTATTTTCTTAACGGGACAAACTATTAAACATTTCAGGGAGCATTAAAAACTTTGAAGAACAATCCCTTTGTGTACCTCTCCTTTGCTCAAACTGTTTTTATAAAGTCACAAATAAATAAACACCACCGAGTCGTCTCAGTATTCTTTTACCAACTGCCCTTTCAATCTCTATAAAAACTGCAGTGGACAGAAATGGTGCCAAAGGGTAACAACCCTAGCAACAACCAACAATGTGGATGGAAGGTGAAAATTAGACATCAAAAATGTTTCCTGGCAACAAGTTTTTTTCATTTGGATTGAAAGAAAAGCAGCGATGATCACGTTTAATGCTGGTGGGGGAATTGCTTTAATCCTCTTGTCCCTCATGGAGGGAGAAGAGGTCAAGCACAGCGCATTAGAGAAGCAGGTGGAATCCGCTGCAGAAGGACCCTTGAGAGGCTGCAGAGGACAATCAATGTATTTTTAATCAGCTCCAACTTTTAAACCTGCTCTGCTTAAAGTGCTGCAAAGGTAGGTTTTTTTAAAATAAAGCTTTGCGTTTATGAAGAGCAATACGCAAATACGGTAAAAAAATAAATGTCTCACAAGCGTTAAAAAATATACGGACATGGCCGTCCGACTAGCCTGTTTAGTAAGGAGGACATTCATCAGAAAGAGCTCAGACATGGTGAACTGATCATCAACATTATTAGTGATGCACTTCACAAACTGGGTGTATATTTTTCTATCTATAGATAGACAAAAAGACGCAACTTTTAAAAGAAACCTATAAAAAATACTGCTTCCCTTATTCCATAATCTTTTTTTGTGAAAAATCCAGTAAAGAAAAACTGTGGAAAAAGAGCATGAAAATGTTTAATTTTTTCCTCCCAATAAAGTTCAGTGCTTAAAGAACTCTGAATATCCACCTTATTTGCAACAACTTTCTTAAATAGGGCTGTCACTTTTATCTTTTACAATAAATATAAAAAATGTACATGTAATAACTATGACAGGTGTGAAATCTACATACTACATTTTTAAGTTAATAAGCAAAAGTTCTCTTGCCATGGACAACTGAAATGAATACAGTCAAATTGTTTAGTATACGTAAAATTCAGAAAATCGTTCTCTTATATGAAGCAACATTGGATTTTACACCATAGAGACGCAGGAGAGAAATAAAGCTAGATGGTAGAAAGACAGTTTATGTTCTTTGCTTTGACAAGAATGTCAAAGGTTTGAACATTTCAATCATAATCCAACTTCACATATCTTGAAGTTGTTCTTTAATCAAATTTAATGTCGTCGTTGGATTTAAAAAAGCTTTTATTACTGAAGGGAAAAAAAACACCTTTTGCATTTGTGGAGATAGTATTGACCGCAAGAAAATTAAGTAATTAAACAGATCTACAATAGCTTCTTTGTATTTCTATTTACTTGCCAAGGTTTTTATTTAAATCTCTAAATCACGACAAATAACACCTCTTGATGCTCAAACTTATTTTGTTAATTCATACCTCGGTTTCTACTCTTCACACATATTTATAATTTAATAACTTCCATAAAAAAAGTCATAAAAAATGCCAGAATCTCTTGTATAACTAATTGCTCATCATTATCAAAGGACATTGCAGCCGGTAAACTAGTTTACTGCTTCAACCAGCTAAATCTTAATAAATCTAAACTTATCATCCCATATTGGATCACAGCTATATGCTACCTTCCTTCTTCTTGACTTCTGAAATAGTGACCCTAGTGATGTTTTCTCACAGAAATTTGGAGCTGCTTATATAAATGACAAATGTATAATTTAAATAACCAGTTGTTAAAATGGGTTAAAACCATTCCCTGGGATTTGTGAACTTATGATCAAAAGGAAATAAACCAAAAAATAAAAGAAATCCTTCAGAAAACTATTAGACACAAGAAAACAAAATTGCAAAAATATTTTTTTTCAGACCTGTAGACAATCTGTAGAGGAAGCTTAAGATTCCAGTGATGGAAAAAAGCCACCCACACTTGAATTCACTGGGCTGCATTGTGGAACAGATGGCAATACTACTGCCTTACATTAACAGGTTTCTGGGCTTGAATTCTGTCCTTGGACCCTTTTCCATGAAAACTGTATGTTCTGTTCTGTTCATTGTTGTTTGTCCATCATGCCTCTGAAAGGCTGGAACCTTTGCAGATAGTACCTGACCTCTTGGACGAGTATGGCTGGAGATATCAAACAACCCCTAAAAGGATAATAGACAATAGATAATATTGAGAAAAGGCTCAGAAATACCAGAGGATATTAGCAAAATAAATAAAACAGCATAACTTTAACTCCATTCCCAGAATTGTAGAATATAAATTAAAGCTTAACCAAATCCATTTCTCCTCTTTGCAAAGGGATTTGTGACTCTTATTTAGATAACTAATGAAATCTTCTTAATATGCTCAGTAATTTATGGGAAGAGAAACGAGGATGCTGTATTTTTCAAATGTTTGCTCAGCTTCATATTTACAGAAAGATTACTAAGGAGCAGAGGATCAGCTTTGGGATATATCTGTGAGTTCACTGTATTTCAGGTTGAAAGAAGCGCAGCCTTTTATACACCAGGGCTTAGTTATTTTTATCCTTTACAAGGAACCGTTTGGATAAAGTGTGGAGTGAAAAGTTTAGTTCCTCTATCCAGCTATGAGTCACCCTCCTCCTTCCATAAGGTGATGAACTTTATCAGCCATAGTTTGAAACCAATACTTACAGAACTTTCATCTCATTCAAACTTTTGTAAAAAAAAAAAAGGAAAACCCAAACAAAGCATCAATAGTGAAAGAAAAATGTACAGATCAAACTAGATATTATTTACCAGCAGTGCAGGATGCTTTTCACTCTTTTTAAGCAAAAGAAACTAAAAAGTAACAGAAATCTGCTCTTATATTATTTGCTTTGTTTAGTTAAAGCCTCTTTTGCAGAAGAAAGCAGCGACAAACAAAATGTAGGAGCCTTTGGATCTCACATATTGTGGGTTTCAGGGTCTCTGTGGACCAGGCTAGCTCCCAGCAGGAAGGATTAAATCCACTTTAGATTTGGATCTATGCACTTTGAGAACTCTTTGAACACCTGAGGCTCTCATCTGTGTTGTTTGTATTATTCTAAGAAAGCCTCTTCTAAGGCCTACTGCCTTCATGCTGAGCAGCAAGTTATTTCTTAAGTGAGGAGCTGAGAGGGCAATTGTTCATTAGAAATACTATTGAAGCCAAAATAAAAATCCCTTGTAGATAAAGGAAGGCGGATCACTGAGATACAGACCTCAGCTATAATTTAATCATACACTTAAAAGGTTTAAATATCCCCCAATGAACACTTATTCTGTTAATTTTAACTCTTTAAAATGATGAACGCTGATATCTTTGTAGGTAGGTAACTAAAAGCATCAAGACAGATTGAGATTTGATGGTATTTACTCTTCTTTCAAATTAAAACAAGGAAATTGTTGACACAAAGTAAACAAAGTTCATCTGGTGTTAATTGTAGTCATGACAAAGTCCTTTTTGATTGGTTTGCTCAGAATAAAAAAAAATAAATAGAAAGCCGTCCAAAAAAAATAATCTAAGCATTATGTTCAGTGTTTTAATTAGAACACAAGCAATTAAAGCTACAAATAGGTCTACATGGTAAATGTCAGAATGAATCACATTGAAGCATTCACATCTCTCAGGTCCTTAAATGTACAAGCCAGGGGAGCGAATGCAGTGCAACAAAAGGGCTTGAACAGTTTCTAGAAGGGGGTATTTTAGCTGCTGATGCGAGAGTTCGCTGTGACTGTGGTTGGGAGTCCTGATTGCTCCGCTGAGGCTACGGCGCAGACCAGTTGGCTCTTTTCGGAGGGGGAGGGGGCATTAGCGCAGAGTCCGGGTCAGACGGGTGTTTCCGGGTCTGCGCGCTGGCTCCCTGGGCGCAGCGGTCCAGATACTCAAAAAGAATTTCCTTAGTGACCGGTTCCTGGATGCTTTTGCAGACAGCTGGGGAGACAAAAAAAAACAGATGATTACAGCAGGAAGAAAGATATCACAGAGGTTTTTTCATCCAAGAAGCACAACTCAGCAAATCATGATGGAAGATACATTGTTCTCGATTTTACAAATAAAAAACGCAACGTGAATTTGCAGTAAGCAAAACTATTTTTGCTGAGTTTATTCTACAAAATGGCGCCGCACAATGGCAACCCACTGCTCCTCAAGGGGATGGGTTAAATGTAGAGGTAAAAGTCTGAAATCAATAAAATAAAATTATTATTATGAGACTTATAAATGCTACCATCTCAGACCAGCAATGCTATTCATTCTCAAATAAAAGACTTTTGTTCTTTTGTTATTGTGCTCACTTTTCTGCAAAAAAAGTGTTAAATGTTGACACAAAAGGTTCAGTTCTGAAACAGTCTTTCACAGGTTGGTCACGTCCCGTACTAGCCTTGTGAGACCATCCTGATCTCTCGAGCTTTCAAGATTTCACTCGCTAATCAGTCTTGAGACTCTCCGTTGAAGAAAATTTGGAGCCGTTCATCAAATGAACTTCCAATCAGCGTTGGCTTTGTGGCGGGTTGAGTTGTGACGCAACGAGAAGCGCGA